CTGCAAAATCAGCGGCAAAATGTTTTCCGAGAACTCCATCAACATCATCAGATCGAACAAGCTCGACATTCCATTCTGTCTGCATCCCGTATCTTCAATCAGATGATCAAGGTACATCTCCTTTGGTTGACCTTGTGTTCTTTTTTTCCGTGGGATGCTATCCAGAGTAGAACATCTCCAGCTAGTTCTTCTTTGTTACGCCAACAATAACCAGCAAATCTGTCTTTGTTGGCGTATTGATTTGCTGATGGGAGGTATGTTGTCATAGAGCTCTTTCTTTGTTGGGTGATCTTTCTGGCATTTGTTTAGCGCTGTTCGAAGCATTCGTGTGTAAGCAGCATCTAACCTCTTTTCCAGTTTGGCTGTTAGTGTCCAGGTTAAGGAGCCACATGCAAAGATGGACTCTAGAGTAGCTCTGAAAAAGTGACTACAGAATCGTTTTGCCCTGCGTATGCGTAATGATGGCGGACATGTTGAAAATTAAAAATCCTAATAACAAATTTACTTGTTGTCTTTTCCTTTTTATAGAATGTTTCTATTATGTAGAGTTACGAAGCTACAAGCTTTTGAAAGTGGACTTCATGAACTCCCTGGATATATACATAATAATAAATTAAAATAAAGAAGGAAAAAAATATTGCAAGTTTTTTGATCCTCTTAATATTTGTCCGTTTGTTTGTTTGTTTGTTTGTCTGTCTGTCTGTCTGTCTGTGTGTCGCTCTGTCTTTTTCTTACCTAAGAAAAGTATTAAATATGAATAAACTGATGTTTCGTGAGAAAGAAAGAAAGAAAGAAAGAACGAAAGAAAGCTGTAACTCATTCCAGTTCACTTCACTCTCACTCTCCTTCCTCCTCTCTCTTTCTCACGCACACACACACACACACACACACACACACAGAATTTTTGTAAACAGAAAAAGGGAGATATAGACAGTCATATTTTGTGTGAAGTGAAAAAGACGCAAGTTTCGACACGTCACCACACACCCCCATCCACCCAGCTACCAACGGCAAAGCTTCAACGCTCCACTTGCTCTTGCCACCTTTCGACCGCATAGCCTTGCTTTATTATTTGGCACACAGGTCACCATAGCAACAAACCAGTCATGCGACGCTACAATCCACGACGATACAGAGTACACCTCGCCTCTGCCATTTTGGGACGAATTCACTTCCGTCCCCACCTACCAACTCTTACTCACCAGCCAGACACGCAATATCGAAAATAATAAAGGTAAGCAAAGAATTACTATGTCATTATTAAATGAATAGCAGGAATAATTTATTTAAGTTAATTCTTATTAAATACATTATTAAAGACTTTAAGTTATTCACCTTTTTGCACGATAGACTCACTACTCACCTAGAGTGTTGTGTGTGCACACGGCATTATTTAGTCTGGTGCAAGGCCAATTTGAGCGATCAGTAATATAAACACATGTTTTGCGCCAAGTGGGGAGGACCCGTCTGATGTGAAAATGAGCATTTGAAATTATTTTTGAACCCATATTCTCCTGGCGTCAGTTTAAATAGATACCTTCTTTTTTCCATATAAATAGGACCATTTTGCTTAGATTCAGTATTTTCATGAAATCAATTTTTATAAAGAGAAAAGAACACGTCAATTTAAAATGACGCCGTGTGGATAACAGGTATGAGGCTCGAACTCGGATCTATGGCATTATTTGGAAGTATGTGTAGTCAGGTTCACACTCCTCCCCAGTCTTTTGAACAGGAATAGTGGTTTATCCCTTGTTTCCTTTTTAGGACTGGGTTTTTGGTTCCTTCTAAAGTCTACTTCAGCTCTATACTCCTAACACTTGCATTTTCCTAGACTAATATAAGTCTACACAGTAACCCTCTACATTGAAGGGCTCTTGGGCTTTGTACTGGGTGAACATTAGTAAAAAATGAATGTAACTACTTCAGCTTCTATTTACTAGTTTATCAAATGCCAAATTGAAAGAAAATGGGTTGAAAGATTGTGTTGCAGAGAGTTCGAATTCTAATCGAGTTCTTTACATTCCTTTACGCGCAAATACCCTTGGTATATGTAATATTAATCCCTTCTTCCACTAGCTATGGATTAAATAGTACGTCTACTATCTGGAAAATTAATTGCTATCTTCACAAAATTGTTAATGCAATATTCAATCACAAAAATTCCTTGCAATCCAAAATATGTTTCAACTTTAAATAACCCACAAAGGGTTGATAAACCGTAAAAAAATAAAACAATCTTAACTTCCTCAAATCAAATTGTTATCTATCCTCCTAATCTTCACTTTGTACCAGTTTCTCTTTTAGTCATATCACACTTCATTCATCATTATCATTATATCAATAGCACTCTACCCTGAATATCTCTCGGGCCATGCATTTGGTAAACGTTAGTATAAAAAAAAGACGAACCCGTTCATCTTTAGACCGAATATGCTAACAATTATTTCGTAGCATAACCTTGGATAAGGCATGAAACCGACTATTTATCACAACGCCAGATACCTTGAGAAAATACCTGACATATCACGATAGTTAACGGAAAAGAGAAAGTGTGAGTCGGTATTTGAGCCTACCATTCCCCCATGACTGCCTTAAACTGCCTAACCAGTAGTAGCAGCATGCCACCAACTCATATAATAATTTACTATATTTAGCTTTGTCTGACACAAGACTACATAGAGTGGGAAATGAAGGTAGGAAAGGTCTGTTATATAACTGTTTCTTTACAAGAGTCAGATTAGACCAAAAATTGAGTTGCTGCCATATTTGGATGAGAGTTGCTGAATCCAGCTTTAACAGCGTTCAGAATTGTTTAAGCCGTCTTATAGGCGAAGACCTTCCTAAAAGCAATGGTGAAAAAAAAGGCTTTGAGCGATGAAAGCCTGAAGGTCTTAGCAAAGACCATCCTGCTTTGAACATTGTGGACTGGCGCCACAGAATCACAAATAAAGAACTGTACCAAATAATAGAAACTGCATCAGTTGAGGACTAACAACAGCAGCAACAAGTAAAATGGATAGCATATGTAACACGTTAGAAAATAATGACAATCGAGATGTTAACATTACACACCACATCAAATGGGTTTGGAAGGAAATTCCCATCAGTAATGGAAAGAACGATGACATCTACTGGACTTGAGAAACCTGTTTTCCTAAAAAGGTGATTTAAGAGAAAGATTTAATTAATTTCAACTGAAAACAGTAATGGCTGCTCGGTCAATGAAAGCCAAATGTGTCATTATAGGGAAACAGTTAATATTACCATTACTATCTTCTGCTGCTTCTTTCTGATGTAAGTAATATCACGAGCCTATCGCTCATCTATCAGTAGTTAGGATCTTTATAACCAGGACACACCAGGACATGGCATGCTACCTGCAAGCAGGCGAATCACTGACATGTATTCTGTAAATACTCAGGTACCTTTCTTTTCTTTTTTCTTTTTTTTTTTTTTTTTTCAAGAACTGCTGCTCTGTGGAACAGACTTGCGTAAGTGCTTTCCTTAATACGTAAAAGATTAATTGTTATTTGTCCATTCATTTTTTATTCCAATCCTCATGGGGAATGACTGCAAAAACACTTAACCCTCCATTTTTATCGGCAGAAGTACGCAAATGCATGCCGGGATTTTTTCCTAGCCAATAAAATAGACCGGTTTGCGGCTTCATATAAGTCAGTCCCGATCTGTCTTGTCTTGAAATCAGAACGTTACGTTCGCTTGCTTGCTTTCGTGTGTCGACGCCAATTCTTAGTCTGTGAACTTTTTGCCATATTACTGTTGCTTTGCCTTATTACTGTTAATTTGTCTTGCATATATTGTTTGCTTGCTTTATATTATTTTTTCTTACCTTGTTCTTTTTCTTGTTATTACTTATTGCAAACTTTGTCAATTCTGTTTGTTGGACAGTTCTGTTACTTATTTTGCATTTGACCATGGCTACCCACTCCACACTCATAAACTTCACTTCCTATCTTTCATTCGTAACACATACCTCCTCCATCCTAAACATTTTACCAGTAACCCTACTTCAAGTGGCTCTCTGGCCTAGTATTAGCTGAACTTTTCTTCCACCATTTACAAACGCTCTGTGTACAGATATGATGTAAGTTTCTTCAAATAATAATGATAGTAATACTGATAATGATTGGTTTGTCATTTCCGAGCACACTCTTCGGCTTGGGTGGCTAGCTAATCCATGTTCCAGACACCTGCTCAGGCTCATTGGTATTTGTTCAATACCCACAGAGATTTGTGTATTACATTGTCTCTACGCCGAGCAGGCCTTAGTTACAGTTTTGGGGAGATAGTGGATAATCCGGCGTGATCAGTAGTTGAACAAAGTTCATATTGCCGGTTACAATGACTTGTGACTTCGCGTTAACTCAACCCCCGTCGGCTTCTGAACACTTTTGTTTCACTAATTTCACTCACAAAGCTTGGGTCAACCTGTGGTATGGTGTTTAGGCACGTCTCAAATGTGACGCATGCTGGAATCGTCTGACTGCGTTGATAATATCAAGGTCATTTCCTTGGCAAATCGTTTCATGGTCAGCTCGCTACTAATTCTTAAAACCTCTGTCTAAAGAGACATAGAGGAAAACATTTCCTCTCTCAGATCTTAACTTTAGATGAAAGGGCTAATATTACCCCCACTTTGTGATGAAAATATAACATCGATGGAGAATGAAAAAATTGAAGGAAAATGCTCGAATTATCTGAACAACTAATGACGCTTGGTCAGAATCAGAATGAGATAAGTGAAATTTCATGGAGACCTAATGAGAAGAGAAGGTTTGGAAGACTTAGCAATCACGGTTGAAGGAAGGCAGCGAGTCAGCTACCTGCCTGACGAGCTTGTGAATAGATAAATGGATGGCGGAACGGAGGCATGGTTGGTAAAAGGAGAAACTTTGCTAAGGGCCACGAAGGAGAGGAAATTGTGGAATACTATGATCGTCCACTTCTTGAAGGAACATATCGCATAGAAAAAGAACAAGAACAAGAAGAAAAGAAGAAGAAAAAATGATGAAAAAAAGTAAAAGAAGAAGAAAACGAAGAAGAAAAAGAAGAACGAAAGAAAGAAAAAGAAGAAAAAAGGAGAGGAAGAAGAAAAAAGAAGAAAAATCGAAGAAAATGAAGAAAAGGAAGAAGAGAAAGAAGAAGAGAAAGCAGAAAATAATGAAAAATAAGAAGAAAAAGAAGAAAGGAAGAAGAAAAGAAGAAGAAAAAGAAGAAAAAAGGATAGGAAGAAGAAAAAGAAGGAGAAAAAAGAAAATGATGAAAAGAAGAAGAAAAAGAAGAAAAAAGGAGAAAATGATGAAAAAGAAGAAATAAGAAGAAAAAGAAGAAAAAAGAAGAAAACGGAGAAGAAGAAGAAGAAGAAAAGAAGAAAATGAAAAAAATGAAGAAGAAGAAGAAGAAATGTTTTGAAGAGACATGTCGTTTTTGAAAATATACGTTTGAGTTTTTGTGGGTGAGGGTAAGAATAAAAGACAACAATGATCAACACCAGTAACATAAGAGACTTGTAAAATCTTTGATTTTTTCTGTTAAATCATTAGAAAAAAAAGGATTAATATATAGATGAAAAACTTTATGTGAAACAGAAAAAAAAATTAAATAAAAGGAATGAGTAAATAAATTAAAGGAGGAGAAAAAGAAGAAAAAAATGACTGAAGAAAAATGCTATACAAAAAAATTGATAAAGATGAAAAAGAAATTAAAGAAGAAAAGGGCAAAGAAGTAAAACGGAAAGAAAAAAACGAAGAAAACGAAGAAATGGCTGAAAGAGAAAAAGGAAAACAAAAAGTAGGAGAAAAATCTTGAAAATGAAAAATTGATGATGAAATAAAAGGAAAGAAAAAATCGAAAGTATATTAATGAAGAAGAAAAGGAAAAGAAAGAAAAAGAAGAAATGGCGACTGAAAAAGGTTTATGGAAAATAAAAAAAAGAAGAAATTAAAAGAAGAGAAAGAAAAAGTAGAAAAAATATTGACGAAGAAGAAGAAATGGCAAGATGAAAAAAGAATAAAATGCAAACAAAGAAGAAGAAAAAAGAAAGGAAAAGATGAAAAGAAGAAAAGGAAAAAGAAAATAAGAATAAAAAAGAGAAATAACTGCTGCAGAAGAAAAAAAAAGAAAGCAAAAATGTACAAAAAAAATGAAGAAAAACAAAAGCGTCGAAAGAGAAGAAAAATAAAATAAAAATGTCTGAATAAGTTTTTTTTCTTCAGACATTTTTTATCGTGTTAAAAATCTTGAAGAAAAAGTGGCGAAAAAGAAAAAAAGTAATCCCAAACGTAGATAAAAATTTATGAAGAACGAAAATGAAAAATGCAGAAATGTCTTCAGAGCCAAGTTAATAAAACGACATTCTTCGAGCGTGTCAAAGCAACAAGCGAAACCATACTTAAATTTAATTGACATATTTTGGGCATTTTTTTTTTTTTTTTTTTTGGTACAAGCGGGTCTCTTCATTTATATGCGAATAAATCCTTCAAAGCCCGCGAACAAGGCGGTAACACAATGATGGGAGACTTCCACGCCATCTTGGTCTAATGATGCAGCTGTTGCCAGCATCCAAAATAGTCGAATGTCATGAAACAAATGAGACAGACAGTGAAACAGAAAAAGAGAGAGAGAGAGAAAGAGTGAAACAGAAAGAGAGAGAGAGAGTATGAAAAAGAGAGAGTAACAATAAGAAAAAGAGGGAGTTTTTAAAAAATTCAGAAAACAATTAAACAAATATTGCGTCGGGTTTTACGGAAAGTGTGAGCGTGTATGTGTCCATGGACGTAGGTTTGTGTTGATCTGCGTGTATGAGAGTGCGTGTGTACTACCGCGTGTGGGCTTACGTTTGTGTGCGTGGGTGTAGATTTTATGATTCATTATTATTTTACTGAAAATAAAATCTGAAACAAATTGAGACAACTAAAAGAACAAAACTTGGAACGGCTTGTTGCATTGGAACATTTTCAAGAAGACAAATATGTTTGGCAAAATAAAGCGACAGGTGGCGGTAGTAATAAAAGAAAGTACTAGAAGTGAGTGAAAAGTCCCATGACGACTGTCGCTGTTAGAAAGAGCCAAACATCTTTGCCTCTCTGGGGTCAGACGATGAAAAGGAAAAAGTCTCACTGCGCAAAAGTTTTGGAAATTCTAGCAATAATTTCTGGCACTCTTGACCCACATTTTTGTTCAGTGCAAAATTATGGTCTACTGTCAAATACTAGTAATTCTTAGTAAATCAACATCATTTGTTTATAATAGGACTTGTGTTTGGCTTGGTTTGGTTTACTGCATACCATCCTCAATGGGTGATGTAATGCCAACAAAAATTTTATTGCTGGTATTTTTTTTTCAAAAATGTATTGCTGATAACATTTTTTTATCCTTCAAAATTCTATTGCTGGTAATATTTTTTCTTCAAAACTCTTTTTCTGATAATATTTTTTCCCCAAAAATGTATTCTGGGTAATATTTTCTTTTAAATTTATTGCTGATAATAATTTTTTTCTTCAAAAATTTATTGCTGGTAATAATGTATTTACAAAGTATTTCTGGTATTAAAACCTATTTTTTAACTTTCATAGTGTGTTGACCCCAGTTTGGGTGTTAACTATTTGCCCATAGCTGGGACCCTAGCAGGCGCTACCACCCCGGGTCAGGGTGGACCTGAGAACACCAGCAATTAAGAGGTGGTTTCACACTCCTCAAAACCTCCTGATCAAAGGCCTTGTCGGACATAGTTTATCGTCTTACCCAGAACACGGATGAAGTTTATCGCCATACCCGGAACGGGGGACTTTTGTGTTAAATTATCCAAAACTATTCCAAATGATTTTATGACAATTCTGCTCATTTTATTCATTATTCTTATTATTCCTGCCATATTTCAACCAAACCGTTCTCCGATCTTCATCAATTGTACTTTTTTATTCCATGTCTCTTCAGGGCATGAACGATCATGGCTCTCTACAACTTCCTGTCTTTTGTACTATGAGTAACTATTGACCCTTTATCACTCTTTGTCCCTGTTCTGTCATTCATTGATTTTTAATTCATTAAGCAGATGAACATAGCTCTCCGCATCTTCACGCCTTTTGTTGCTGTAAGTCACTTTTGAAGTAGATGAAACAGTATCTAATTAAATTGCCAAAAACTCCTCTTAACATTATAAAGGAGAGGTGAGTTGTCGCTTGAAATAAAGGGCCTAAATTTGTAAGACTATCACCTGTCGATTAGGAGATGCTTTCAAAGGCAAGGTAGAGCAGAAGCTGGCCAACAGCAAAACTCGAAAGCGTTCTGAAGTTCATCGAAAGGTACAATATGTAGAGTATCAAATATATCTCAAAAGTCACACAAGGGCTCACAACAGACTTCTCATGCACTCTCAGTTGTTTTAATAAACCTAAAGTCTCTTTGATTCTATTCGAATGGTGCAAAGAAGGGTTATCCTTCAAATGGTCAGTAGACCTTTCCAGCACCCTCTTATATCTATCTATCTATCTATCTATCTATCTATCTATCTATCTATCTATCTATCTATCTATCTCAGTCTGTTCATATCTATCTATCTCTCTATCTTAGTCTGTTCATATCTATCTATCTATCTATCTATCTATCTATCTATCTATCTCAGTCTGTTCATATCTATCTATCTCTCTCTATCTTAGTCTGTTCATATCAATCTATCCATCTATTTCAGTCTGTTCATGTCTCTCTATCTTTCTATCTCAGTCTGTTCATTATCTATCTATCTATCTATCTATCTATCTATCTATCTATCTATCTATCTATCTATCTCAGTCTGTTCATATCTATCTATCTATCTATCTATCTATCTATCTGGTCCGATAGTCATTTTCCGACCATGGAACCCGGGTTCGAATCTCACCGTGGTCGATTTGATAGGACGGTTACTTCTTGATGTTATCGGTGTGCGGTGGGGATGCTAGCGAGTAGTACTTTTAGAAAGTACCTAGACCACGGGTTGACCCAAGCATTATGAGTGAAATTAGACGAAACTGTTCGAAAGCCGTCCATGGTGGTGCTAGCATGTACTCACAAGTCATCGTGACTGAGTCTCGGAGCGTACTGGCCAAGCTGCTAATCATGACAACTTATATACTCTCTCCTAGAAAATGTAAGTAAGGTCTGCCACGGCCAACGAATATTGTACGGCTTCACATGTCACGTAAGAATCTGAATTATAACAAGCCGATGTAATATAAAAAAATGTGAATGGCCCCTTAAAAGATTGCTGATCTAAAAGGGGTGGGGTAACTTTAAAACTTGAATTCTTATAATGTAAAGTAACAACGTACAATGACGTAGAATTTATTAGACGTTATTTCAATTCCCTAGACATGTTTTCAATACTAAAATGCATATTTGCACCTTTTATTTTACTAATCTACGAATTATAAACGGTTGTGAGTTACCTCGCTTTTATGATTTTCAATTTCAGTCCGTTTTAAAAATGAATGCTATTAGGTAAATTTTCTACCTCAGAATCCATTGCATTTAAAGATTATATTATAAAGCGATATGTTGTTTAACAAAAATGTTTAACAAATATCTTGCATTTAATTTTTCTAGTGGATGTTACTAACAGTGAAAATACTTTTCTTTTATTTTATTTTCCTCGAAAATAAAAATCATTAATCGTATTGATTGGTTTCCTACGAAAAATCCAGTTCTATGTATGAAAAACTTTGAAGAGAAATTTATTTTGAAAGGAAAAACTAAACAAACTGAATTGGGATTTACATCCAATACCTACAATACCTTCAGAAAAAATAAGAAAACCGTTTCTTTTGCCGAACACAATTCAGAAAGCCTCCAAAGCAACGACTAATCAAAACTGATGAATTACATGATTTTATTTCTGCGATAAAGGATTTTACTCAAATATAAGAAGCAACGTGTTGTCCTAATGGTTTTGAATTAAAAAAAAAAATGGAAAACTACATACAAAACGTGCTGGAAGAACAACCATACTCAGTTCTAGAAAAATTACAAAATAAAAAAGCAACATTGCCAACCAAGAGGTCGTCCTTCATTTTCTAATACGTTATGCCTTACTATTGCTCTCTACGTCTCAACAAGCCTACAAATTACTTTACCATCTCTTTCTTTATTAGACGTTTTCAATGTAAAATGTGTTCCCCGGTCATGGTAGGCAGGGATAGTGATGATGCTACAGAGAAGCAGTACTTTGACTTACTTCCTCAAGGAGGTCTTACGGTTGCATCTAGCCACACGGCAGAGTTCATTTCTGCTTGTTTCGCTATACTTGACTATACAGATAAATTTATTGCAAAACATAATGAATCCACTACAAGAGAGTCGGTCGAAATAATTTCGGAAACTTATTTTCCAAAATATGTTTTTACTTATGAACAACACACTGAAAAAGGAATTCACTTTGCAGCAA